TGCAGCTGACCAACACTACCAAGCAACATACTGGCCATGCTTTCTTTCAAATTCCTGTGAAGTTTAACACGTCTTCCTTATCTGGGTCAGCTCAGTTTCTTTCATTTTCCACCTATTTTATCTTTGCCATTGTTCCTACACTGAGAAAACCTAAAGGCAACGGCTTTGCCTTCACCATCTCACCATCTCTGAGCTTCACAAAGGGAGGCATGACAGACCAGTTTTTGGGCGTTTTCAATTCTTCAAACAACGGCCATGCCTCGAACCATGTGCTTGCAGTTGAGTTTGATACTCTGCAGAGCCCTGAGTTTGAAGATATAAATAGCAATCATGTGGGAATTGATGTGGACAGCCTAAAATCAGTTGTAGCTGCTCCGGGGTCATATTTTCACAATACAGATGGGATCAACAAGAGCTTGGAACTTACGAATAAAACACCAACGCAGGTTTGGATAGACTATGATGGAGTGGAAAAGATTATCGTCGTTACCTTAGCTCCCATCAGAATCGCGAAACCAAATCAACCTCTCTTGTCGGCGTCCATTGATCTTTCTCCAGTTTTCTTGGAGTCTATGTATGTTGGTTTCTCTGCATCGACAGGAGCAGTGTCAGTAAGCAACCACTACATTCTGGGGTGGAGCTTCAACAAAGCAGGACCAGCGCAAAGTCTAGAACTCTCAAAGCTTCCTTCAGTTCCCCGACCCAGAAAATCCAAAAAAAATTACATCTAGATGTTGGATTCTCGGCCTCGACAGTACTGGTTGTGCTGATCATCACTATGGCTGGGATTGCTTACATACAAAGGAGAAGAAAGTATGCAGAAATACTCGAGGATTGGGAATTGGAATATGGACCTCAGAGGTTCTTCTACAAGGATCTCTACAAAGCAACCAATGGGTTCAACCACAAAGAGGTTCTTGGAGTAGGAGGTTTTGGACAGGTTTATAGAGGGGTACTTCCTTCTTCCAATGCCCAAGTTGCAGTGAAGAGAATCTCCCATAACTCAACACAAGGGATGAAGGAATTTGTGGCTGAAATTGCCAGCTTGGGAAGGCTCAGGCACAGGCACTTGGTGGCCCTCCTCGGCTATTGCCGGAGAAAGGGAGAGCTTCTGTTGGTCTATGATTATATGCCCCATGGAAGTCTTGACAAGTTTTTACACAGTAACGAGACTCCAAGCCTTAATTGGGCACAACGCTATCGAATCATTAGAGGGGTGGCATCTGGTCTTCTGTATCTACATGAAGAGTGGGAAAAAGTTGTTCTTCATAGAGATGTCAAGGCCAGTAATGTCCTTGTGGATGCCCATTTTAATGGACAGCTTGGAGACTTTGGGCTTGCTAGATTGTATGATCACGGGGAAAATCCTAAAACAACCCATGTGGTTGGAACTTTTGGCTATATAGCACCAAAACTTGTTAGAACTGGCAAGGCAACTACTAGCACAGATGTCTTTGCTTTCGAAGCATTTATGCTGGAAGTGGCTTGCGGAAAAAGGCCTCTAAAGGTACAGAGATTTATTGATGATATGGTTCTGGTTCAGTGGGTAATGGAGAAATGGAAAGGAGGAGCAATCCTTGAGGTAAGTGATCCGAGATTGGGAGGTGACTTTGTGATGGAGGAAATGGAGTTGGTTTTGAAGTTGGGTCTGCTTTGCTCGCACTATAATCCGATGGCTAGGCCTAGCATGAGGCAAGTGATGAGGCATTTGGATGGGGATGCTATGCTGCCCGAAGGAGGTCGCATGGCTGCATTATTTGGGGATGAAGTTTCAAATGAATTTGCAGTGGCATTCCCTTCATCATCATTGACGAATATTTCTGCTAATGCCCAGTTTGGTATTGACTCACTCCTTGACGAGGGACGTTAAGACTAATAAGTTTTATGGGTAATTCCATGTATTTTGGTATCAACTTTGGATAGTCATGTTTTGTGATTTTATTTGATTAGACGTTCTAGTTTTAATCGTGCGGATTTTTTTCTACAATATTGTTCTTATTGTAGTGTTTTTCCTATGATTTTTTTCTACAATCATTTATATATACTAGTAATAATTCGTGCTTGAAGACACGACAAAACATAAAATTTGAACCCTAAAAAATCGATTTCATTATATTAAATAATAATTTTTCTTTCCTTCATTTCTTTGATTATATCATTCAAAATTTATTTTTACCTATTATTTTCTTAAAATTATTGACAAAATTTTCTTAAAATACATAATTTGATCAAATTTTCTTAACATATCTATATTACCGTATATGAATAATGTCTGAAATAAAAATTATATTAAACTAAAAATTAATCAAATATTAAATGATTGAACACCAGATAGAAAAGAATAATGTGTTGATTTTGAAAGAAAAATATATAGGAGATAAAATGATTGAACACGTGATAGAAAAATGTGTTTTATTATATAGATATATAGATAGTAATAATTAACTTATGTTTGAAAACACAATAAAATATAAGATTTAAGCGTTAAAAAAATTGATTATATTATACTAAATAACATTTTTTATTTTTTCGTTTCTTTGATTAAATCATTTAAAATTATTTTTTTTCTTATTATTGTATTAAAAATTGCATCAAAATTTTCTCAAAATTTATAACCTGACAAATTTTTCTCAACATGGGTACAGTATCGTATATGGACAAAGTATAAAATAAAAATTGTGTTAAACTACAAAATCAATAAAATATTAAATGATTGAACATGTGCTAAAATTGGGTGATGTGATGATTTTTTTTGCAGACAGGGTGGGTGGAATGTGTAGGGAATAAAATTCAATTTGTGAGTTATCTTATTATATAAATAGATAGTAATAATTAACTCATGTCTGAAGGCACAATGAAATATAAGATTTGAGTGTTAAAAAAATTGATTTTATTATACTAAATAACATTTTTTATTTCTTTGTTTCTTTGATTACATCATTTAAAATTATTTTTTCTTATTATTTAATTAAAAATTGCATCAAAATTTTCTCAAAATTTATAACCCAACATATTTTTCTCAATATGGGTACACTATCGTTTTTGGACAAAGTATAAAATAAAAATTGTGTGAAACCACAAATTAATAAAATATTAAATGATTGAACATATGTTAAAATTGGGTGATGTAATGGATTTGGGAGGAAAAAATGTGTAAAGGATAAAATTCAACTTATGAGCTATATATATATATATATACTCGGATGAATCCTTATAACCTGTTTTTGTGTTTTTTTTTCTTTCTTGGAGGTCTGTTGTGGGGCCTCTTGTCGGAATCATGTAAATGTGTAAAATACTATCCTGACTTGGGTCTGAATAGAAACCTCAGTGTAAAGGCAGTCATATAAGTCCATGGCCATAATATGTAGATTTCTTTTGTGTTGCCGTATCCTAGAGGCCTTTTTTGGGAACCAAGCAGATAACTCAGATACTATTATGAATTATGTCTATCCTCAGTGTAACGGCAGTCATATAAGTCCATGGCCATAACATGCAGATTTCTTTTGTGTTGCCGTATCCTAGAGGCTTCTTTTTGGAACCAAGCAGATAACTCAGATACCATTATGAATTATTCCTTTCTCTTTATAAGGTGATGAAAGATAAGCCCAGTCAAGTTGAACATTCTGATGGAAATCCAGGTGAGTGTTTGCAAATTCTGCTTAGAGACAACACATTAAAATGATTCAAAACTGACAAGAACTTAATATGTTAAGTTTAACTAGTTTTCGATACAAATTCAAGTTGATAAAATGAATAATAAGTGTGGCAGTTTATTATCAAATATGAATAGCCCGAATTTGATACAATAAAATATTTAATTAGTATTGCATGAATAAAATGACTGAATTTTATTGTTTTTATAACATATTTACAGTAATACCAAATGAGAATTTTATTTCTATTTTTGCTATTATATAGACTTAAATAGAATTTAAACCTATGAAAAAAAATGGGTTGTGGTTTAGTTGAGAAATAATCCAATCTTAGTATTAGACTTTTAATTTAAGAAATATAGGGGTCAACTCGAACATGACATTCTAAAAATTAAATGATCAAGCTTGCATCAGAACATTTGACATAATTACTTAAATGAGTTGTATTAAAATTAATTAATACTCGATATGAATACAAAAGAATTAGATTCGTGACCAGCCTAGATTTAGATCAAGCCTAAACCCAGTTCATGGGTTAAGCCCAAACCATCAAAAAGCAGACCAAGTTTAGCACATGGATTCAGTACAGTCCAAAGCTCAAGAGTCCAGAAAGATCAACGCACGTGAGGAGTAAACATCGGGATAGCTATTACTCAAAAATAGCATCTATCCTTAACAGTAGTTGTTCTCTCCGAAAAACTACTAGCATAACCTTTATGTCACCACCTCAGCAAAGGTTATGTGCCCATAAATTGTAAGCCATCTAAAAAGACACACATCACCTCACATTGAGCTTATTTTTGCGCTCTCTCTCTCTCCAACCTACTATTTTATCAATAAAATCAATTGACCATCATTGCCGCCTTCAAAAGTGGAATAAGTCACCTTGACCGAACCATTCTATATCTATGTGTTGCCTATGTTGATTTCATCTTTATATTTACTGCATTTATTACCTATATTAATTACTCAATAGATGGTGCATAAATTCACTTTTGTGCATTATCAGTTTGGTGTCATCTATGGGAAGCGATTTGATTATCAGTTTGGTCCCAATCACAACTGGATTAATGAACCACCAAGCAAAAGATGACCCACCACACCATGACAAGGTTGCGCCACCACAGGTGAAAAGTAGACCCAATAAAATTTTACTTTTTCACTAATTTGTGTTTAAAACTCAAATTTAGTGAAAAGTAAGCATTTTTTAGGAAAATTTGGTGCCCAAATCGCCTTTGGCTATTTGACACTTGTAGATCTAAAAAAAATACCCGAATTCAAAGAAAATTTGCCTCAAACAGACAAACCAATCGCAAAGTTATACCTGCTCAAAGTTTTGTCGTTTCTTTACGCTTTTCTAATACTCCACCCAGCACCAGTGCCATCGATTAGCATCTCATCACCAGCAGCAAAGCCTGCGCATGCCATCCTTTGTGTCGCTAGAGCATCTTGGCTTTGCCTAGATTGCTGCTCCAAGGCGTTGCCCAAACCGCTACACCATGGGTGTCGCCTACATCCCAGTGCCCAGCAAGGGTGTCACCCAGCGCCTAGCGCCATTCCCTAGCGCCACCTCTTGTGCACAAGCGTCGCCTTGCCTCGACTGCCTGCTAGTGTTGCTACCTATGGGCGTCACCCTACCTCAACTTCCTAGTGTCACCTCTGTCGACAAGGGCGTCGCCCAGACTATCTTGGTGTCCTTGCCCAGGCCTCCCAAGTATCGCTCATGCCTCGTTTAAGCATCCTTGGCGTCGCACAGACGCATCCCTTAGCGTTGCCCAAGCCTCCTAGGCATTGCTCAGACCACCACCTAGACCAGCCCTGGCATCATTTGGGATCTCCATACCGTCCAAGCAACCCCTGGCATAGCCCAACTTGCTCATTGTGTTGGTGTCGTTTCAATGCTCCTAGGGCATCTTCCATCGATTCCCTAAGCGATCCTTTCTAAGTAGAAATCGATCGAGATTTTTTGGAACTATGAGTCATAGGCATTTTTCCTAGCGCCTAGCGCCTGTACCCACCAACGCCTAGCGTTGTGCCCAATGGTGCCCGTGCACCCGCACACTTGCGCGCCCTTGCTCCCTCTGCTAACGTCGTCATCCATGCTCGTGATGCCTCCATCATCCAGGGTCTTGCCTCTCTTCTCATTCGTTGCGGCTTCCACCATGGAGCCACCCATGGAGCTCTTATTTGAGGTCTTCCCCTGGCCTCCATGATCCTTGCGCTCGACCTCACTCAATTACTTGTGGGGTAGAAGAGAGTAAGGAAACTACTCTAGCCTCCAAAGGAATGGTATTTGGGTAAAGAATATGGGGTGGCTCAAGACCTATATATATATTGACCTTTCTGGCCCTAAAAATGATACCCTCACCTCCTCGCCTGCTTCGTTTCCTGGGTGTACTGCCTATGTGCCCAGCTCATCCAGCGGTGCCCTTTGTGATCAACGTCACCCTCCTGATGCATCAGGTGACCTCGTCTCATTTGCTCGACGCCCATGCACTGGCGATTCTATGCTACCAATGCCCTCTCACAAGAGTTGCCAAAATCTCGTCCTCACTTTGCCTCTACACTCAAGCAGAGTATGTCTCTAGCTTAGCTGTTCTCAAGAGAGTTGCCAAAAAGCTCAATCTCACCCTGCCTTTACTTTTGGCAATTCTCGTAAGGCTAAGCTAGAGACATAGACTGTTTGCATGAGAGTAGATGCAGAATAAGGCCGAGCTTTTGGAGGCTCTCACGAAAGTTGCCAAAATTTTGGCATCACTCTCTCTCTACTCTCACGTAGCAGACTATGTTTCTAGCTTAGCGGCTCTCACGAGAGTTGTCAAAAACTCGGTCTAACTCTGCCTCTGCCCTCACGCATGCAGCCTATGTCTCCAGCTTAGCGGCTCTCACTTGAATTGCCAAAAATTCGGCCTCACTTTGCCTCGACTCTCAAGAAAACTATGTCTCCAACTTAGCGGCTCTCACAAGAGTTGTCTAAAGCTTAGCCTAATTCCTGCCCCTACTCTTGAGTAGCCTTCATTTCCAGAAACTCGGCCTTAAGATGTGCTCAACCTTGATTACTCCTTAGCATCCTAGCGCACCCGCCTCTCTTCTACCAAAGCTCCCAACACCTCATCGAGTTTGAGCATCCTCAAAAGCACAAAAAACCAATAGCCATCTGCGAGTATCCAAAAGCAAGGGTGTCAATGTGGCCAAAATATACAAAAGACAAGGGTCCATAGAAAATAGGAGTACCATAGCAAAGCCCTCCACCATGTTATCATGTCACTCTCAAGAGCCCAAGAGCCGACCTCTCCAATATCCAAGGTTGTCACAAACCTCCAAAGATGCTCCTCAATCGAATTCACGTCCTGCATGATGGGCATCAAGCCACTGTCGAAAGTAGGACAATGACTTAGAGCTCCGGTCTCAATCTCTAAAATAGTCTGCACACCATCAGACCCCGCCTTCTGAAAAAAGTAGAACCATCAAAACTCAGCTAGAAAGCATTGAGGGCGTCAGACCTTGCCCTCTTGGGAAGAGGGGAAGTCATCATCCTAGTGACATAGAGAGCCTTCACCATTGATTTATCAACCACCAAATCACGTATGAAAAAGAGAATTTTCAGAAACCAAAGACATCATCAGTTTGCCTGGGTCCTCAATGGTGTCGTCCATAGCACTGCCTAGCCTCATGCCTTCCTTGGTGTTGCCCAGGTTCATATCCATGGCGCCACCCAAGCTTCTCTCCCTTTCCATGGCAACACACGCCAAAACGTCCATGTTTCTCTTCATCCTCTTTTCAACAATAGCACTACTAAATAGACAAATAAGCTTTGAAAATACAATGGAGAAGAAAGCTGAACAGAAGAAGCCACCGTGTGGAACAAGGTACCTTGGTCTACCCAAATGAAGGAGCTCACAGATACCCTCAATCCCCGTATCCCTACTGAGGCTTGGGGCATGAGGGGTAAATAACGAGACCCAGATTTAGACTAGGCTTAGCTCATGACTTCAGTCCAGTACAATGCTCAAGAGTCAAGGAAGATCAATGCACGTGGAAAGTAAACATTGGGATAGCCATTACTCGAAGATAATACCTATCCTTAGTTGTAGCTATCCTCCCCGAAAGACTAGTAGCGTGACCTTCACGTCACCACCTTAGCTAGGCCTTTGTGTTTATAAACTATAGGCCCTCTACACATAAGAAAAGGACATCTCTCTCACAACTATCTCTCACACAGAGACACATCACGTCACCTTGAGCTTATTTTTGCTCCCTCTCTCTCTCTCTCTCCCACCTGCTATTTTATCAATAAAGTACTCTGTCTAACATTGCCAACTTCGAAGTAATATAGGCCACCGTGACCGAACCACTCTTTATCTATGTGTGACCTATGTTGGTCTTATCTTTATATTTACTGCATTTATTTCCCATATTAATTACTCAATAGATGGTGCATAAATCCACTTTTGTGCATCATCAGTTCGAACACAACTTAACACCGTTGGATTTTTCACAACTAGTAATTGAATTTATAATTAATAATTTATAAAAACTAAGAAAAAAAATATATTCGACGACCTTATATTTTAGGAGAATGTAGATTGACCCATTAGTCTTAGTCTCTATGACTCCATCCCACTTCTCATGGCACTATCAAGTAGTAAGAGATAAAACTGTTCTTTTCAAATTTATTTATTAGACTGTTCTATTTTAATTGATAAATTAAAATTTTATACATTGAATATTTATGGAAGTTAAAGGACCACACTGATCTAACCATCTAATTTTTGATACAAAATTTGGTAAATGATATGGTAAGTATAGCACTGTTTACCATATCCTAAGAGAACATGTACATTATACAGCCAAATTTTTTTCTATAGTCTTTCGCCCATCATCCTCTAGAAGCATAATTTACAATGCTTGCTCACATACATTTTTTTTCAAAAACATGCTTATTATTTGCTTTTATTTTTTTCAAGCTAGACAAATTGTCTCTCGCATTTTTTTTTCTTTTTGATCAATTTTTTCTCAACCAACATCCCCCAATTATAAGCAATAACAATTCAATCTTGGAATAGTTAAGGGTAAAAGATATTTTTTTTTCGTTGGCTTGGTTTTGTATATGCGGTGTAAGAAACAAAAATATTCTTCAAAAAGGCTCATCTAAGAATATTCAAGAAATCAAGCTATGGCTCAAATAATAACAAAGATGACCTAAAATCATATCTCAATAACTCTTGGCAACACATTCCCTATGCAAATAATTCAAAGTCAAGCAACTCCTCACAATATTGCTGATAACGAAAACTAAATCATGAGACTATTCAAATGAATTAGCAAAATAAAATTACTCTTTTGAATAAATGTAAAGCACCCTTCAAGAAGATTGGATCAAAACTCACCAAGATTTTTATGCATCTCCACTATTTATCTCAAGTTCTCAAGGTAAAATACCAAATAAATTTCAAACTTGTTACAATTTAAAGTGCACAAATTATAATTTTTTTATAAAAATCATGATATGGGATATAAAAATATAGAGTGAATTTCTATGTGATACATAAGCAGCTGCAAATTTAAAGCATAGCAAATAATTCTCATATTATGATGTCAACAAAATACTAAAAAGACACTATTCATTAATACTACAATGCATTAACGAACTACATACCAAAAATGTAGAATGGTCAAGTCATAGACTCAACTACCAGCAACTGGTTTTGATCACAAAAAAAAAAAAAAAAAAAACTCAAGACCCCCTAAGTCATAGTAAAACTATATCAAAAAAGACTGGGGCCATAGAAGAGATCCTAGGAGCTCTAAAAAGATGGACTGGGGTGGTCCCGGGAACTCTGACTCATGACCCTAAAAATATGCCTCGTGCCTAGTCAATTGGGCCCTCATTTGCTTCCTCTCCTTATTTGCCTCTCTCTGACCCCTCAATATAGCAAAATAGCAACTCTCTATCAGTCCTAGGGGTCAGTAGCCTCATCAACAGGCTCATCAGAATCCTCCTCCAGATCGAGGTACTGATTCATCTACTCTTCTACTGACACCTGCAGGCTGACCTCTCTTCGCCCTTGTCACACTCCGGTGTTTCAGCTGCGAGCTAGAGTTTAGGACGATGACCTTCTTGGTCCGCTCCATATTGGCTGCAGGTACCACACCTACATACAAACACAATGTCGTGGCCAATCCCGCAAAAGGGAGAGATCCCTTCTTTTCATCCAGGACCCCCTTCATCATCCCCTCAAAATCAAAGTGGGAGGTCAATGGACTGCCCAGTGCCCATAGCATACAAAAAAGTAGCTTTTCTGGGTAGATGTGGTTGTTCCTCATCAAATGCATCATATTAATTACTAAAATCAAGTTCAGTATATTATATTTAGCAGTCAGATCTCCTTGTTGTAGAAATTTATCCTTCTCCACCCAATTAAACTTAAGATTACCCAGCAACTCTCTTGCAACTAAATCCCCAGTATAAGTCTAAGGGTAATTAGGATTGGTCACCCTACACTGGTCCATCCTATCCACATGAGCAATCACTTTAGGATCCACCCAAATCAACCTCCGCCTAACAAATGCACGAAAACTCCCATCCCCACCATCATCAGCATTACTATATGACTTTCTCACCAACACTTTCACCCCGAGCCTAACATGCCCTATAAATCCATCCTAACCTCTTGAACAAATAATCGAACTAACACTCAACCGAAATCGGTGCTCATCAAAAGTCCTATCCTCGCCTTCTCGAGCACCTTGTGTAGAAGTCCTAGCTCTCTTCGATGTAGGTACTCTTGGTGATGTGAGTTTAAAATTTTGAGGTAAACTTGAAAAAAGTGCTTGAAGGCCTCATTTAAAAGTTCTGAAACACGCCTCCAAACGCGTGTGTCGATCAGTTCGGACACAAGACGGGCAGATGCATCCGGAAACGTGTTCCCAATCCAGATGTGTGAAGTTGTCTGTCCAAATGCACTCAAAAGAATGGTGTCCACACGTTTTGACACGTAGAAAAATTTTATGAATCTTATAACTGTTGCTTCTGGACGCGCAATCAAATCCGTCCGGATGCATCCGGCAGAATGGAAAAGTTTTGGACACATCAAAAAATTTTGACACTGAAACATTTTGATTCCGAACTTGGAAAAATTTGCTATGACTCAAGAAACACAAACAAACCAAAAAATTTATATTTTTCCTATGACTCAAGAAACACAAACAAACCAAAAAATTTAGTACTACCTAAAAATTACTACATCCTAGAAACTTAAAAATCAATCAAACAAACAAACAAAATTAAAACATTGATGCAAACACACATGAAATTTATGATCAATCCTAGAATTTCAAAAATAATAATAATTACAACATAGGTTTGGGAAGGATACATAATGGAAGCAGCTTTGCATCAACCTAAAAAATTTCAGACTCAACAAAAAGAACAAAAATGTTCTTTTTTTTTAAAAAAAGCAACAGTATACAACAATTGGCTTGAGTTTACAATGATTATTCATAGTGGGGATACACCAATCAGATTGATTCCACTTCCACTACTCCCCCTTCCAAGAACGATTTTAAACATTGGCCATTAACCTTAAAAATAGTCTCATTCTCAGAGTTTTCAATCTATAACTCCCCGTAACAAGAAATTCTTTAACAATAAAGGGGTCAATCCATCTAGATCTAAACTTACCTGGAAATAAGTGCAGTCTAGAATTATACAAAAAAACTTTTTGTTAAGGTTCAAAAGTTTTTCTCAAAATATTTTTATCATGAAAAACCTTCATCTATTCTTTGCTAATTCTATAGCTATCATAAGCTTCATTCCGAATCTCATCAAGCTCATTCAACTGTAACTTCTATAAGGAGCTAGCTTTGCGAAGACTAAAATTAAAAATCTTAATGGCCCAATAAGCTTTATGCTCCAATTCCACAAGTAAATGCCAAGATTTCTCATAAATCAATCGATATGGAGACATGTCAATCGGGGTTTTATAAGTAGTGTAGTAAGCCCATAACACATCGGTTAGTCTTAATGACCAATCTTTATAGTCCGCCTTATCTACGGGTGATAAGGAGTTTCAACATTGTGGATAACATCATATTTTTTCATTAAAGCTACGAATGATCTGCTACAAAAGTGCAATTCCCCATCATTTATGATGGCCCAAGGTATACCAAATTTGGAAAAAAGATGTTTTCTTTTAAAAATTTTAAAACAATGTTATTGTAACACCCCAAACCATATCCATAATAATACTCATAACAAAGAGCTATTAACCTTCATAGGTACTAATTGATACAATCTCCAAATAATAAGTAAACTTTGATACTATTTACATAAACATAACGAGTGTTTGCTATCAAGCTCAACAGACAAATTATTCACAATTACGATATGATTACTCAATTATAAACTTGTTACATTTCATACATATACATCAAGCTCACTACAATTTACATGTTTCAACATTATTCAACACTTAGAATGGAAACCCTAAAAAATTAGCAAATTTTGGCTGCTATCAAGCTCAACAAAATAACAAACTATTCACAGCTATGGTACGATGACTCAATTATAAACTTGTTACCTTTCACATAATTTTACATAATTGTGCAATATCAAAATAGTTCATTTCCTACCTAAGTAATACAATAGAAAACATTGATAAAAAATAGTTAAGTTTGAAAATAGTAATATGATCACAACATCAGGTGATGCTTTCAAACTTTTGGTGTAGGTAAGGGTCTACCATTGGAAACTTAGAATGCATCAAAAATTTACATGCCTCAACAACATTATTCAACACTTAGAATGGAAAACCCTGAAATTGGCAGTTCAAACTTACATGAACTTTCCCGTCACCTGCTAATCTGAAAAAAGGAAAATATTGTAGGGTGAACATCAAAGCTCGGTAGAGTAATTCAATTCCAAAGCATGCGAGTTTGAAAATAACATAATTTTACATGATTGGACAATATCAAAATAGTTCATTTCATACATAAGTAATAGAACATAAAACATTGATAAAAAAAAAAAGTTAAGTTTTAAAACAGTAATACGATCACAAAATCAATATAGTGTCACACTGGTGAGCAAATATCCTATCAGACTCAAGGCCAAAACAAACATAACCTTTTAGGGTGCTTCCACCCCCAAGCAATATACGCTCCCTGAATCAATTTGGTACACAAGTTCGAAGACCAATAAGGTCACCCAGATATTTACTAACTCAATGAGAAACCCTTTATGACCTAAATCTGGAATGTAAACCCTCTGTCACTCGAAATGTGTGCACTTACATTTCATTAAAAATGATCTTGGAGTTCCAATAATTTCCAATGATATAATAAATATAAACAATACTAACATTAGTGCGCATGACACCCAACAATTCCAAATCGGATTCGGATTCCAAAACAAAATTTATAACACCAATCATATATTTTAAAACATGTTAAAGAATCATAAATAACATATGGAATAATTTTAAAACATGTTTGAAAAGTATTACTTGATTCAAAATTGAGAAACCCTACCAATTGCAGAACATGTCTTGAAACTACCAAAAATGAAACAATGTTATTTAAAAGTGGTGTAAAATTGGTTGGTCAAAATCCCTCAAAAAGTAGGTCAAATTGACCCCGAAGGGAAAACAGATATTTCACACCACATATAGTTTTGGGTATCAAAATAAACTCAAATTTTACCGAGACCTCGACATTGACGATACAAAACTTTTGGGACCAACCAAAGGTCATTTGGACACCGGACGCAGCCATACACACTGTCAAAGTGCCGAGTGGTCCCGATGTATCGGTACAACAAATCTTGTACTGGTTCATCACACTCCAAAGGCCCTGGTACTCGTTCAGCCTCTCACAAATCACCCATTGTACCAATACAACCCTATTTGTATTGGTTCATCCATTGTTTTATTACTCCCTGTAACTCCACTCCAACGCCAACACAGCCTACCATACACCACCAAACCTTACCTTGACCTTCTAGTAACACCTCAAGCAAAAAAACCATCTAAAACATCCCCAAACTAAAGATCCATTTCATGAAAAAACATATTCATATAAACTTTTAAACCATAAAACTTGCATCTACACTACTCTAAAGCTAAAACTAAGAGCTTCTCCAATGGAGATCCTTACCCTTACCCAAATTTGAGTAAAAAAAAAGGGGTAAAAAGCTTGATTTGATATGGTATTTTCAATGGATAAACCCTTTTTCAGACCCCAAATATTTTCTAAAAATTCACAGCTTATCCCAAAAGTTGTTTTCTTTCATTTTTACCTCCAAAACTTTTTTTACTCCTTTTTCTTTTCTTCTTTTCCTCCAAAATTTCTTTCCCCCTCAATTTTTCACTCCCTCCTTATTTTTCCTACTATTCTGACTATTCCCTCCAAATTTTAGTCAATATTTCCTATAAATAACCTATGTCATTCACATAAATTTTCATCATTCTTAACAGACATGAATCAATTCAAAAGTTCTTTGCTCACTTCCTTTTCAACTTCCTCTTCCTCCTCTTCTTCATCCGATGACAAGGAAATAGCTTCTAATGTGGCTCTTTATGAGACAAACAATGTCATAATGACGGAAATATTCAAAGAAGAAGTAGAACAACCAAACTAACACAGTGGTTATGTTATTGGCCAAAAATACATTCGTCGGGAAAGTGAAAAAGGTCATGATCTACTATTTGCCGATTACTTTGCTGAAAATCCATTTAATCCACTTTCAACATTCTGAAGGCTCTTTCGAATGTGACACAATCTGTTTATGTGCATTCTCAATGCTATTAAAGCACACAATCCTTATTTTATTCAAAAAGAGGATGCATTCATGTTATTAGATTGTCACCCCTTCAAAAAATGACATCCTCAATTAGAATGCTCGCATATGGAATACCAACGGATGCCATGGATGATTATGTGAGAATTACGGAAATCACAAAAATCTTAAGTTAAAAAAAATAATCAGTTATTGATTTTTTGGAGACGAGAAACTAAGATTTTGGGATCCTACAACTCTTGGGGATATCATAAAAATAGGCATTATTTTGCACAATATGATTGTTAAAGACGAACGAGATGGTTATAGAGATTTTGATTATAAACCATCAGAACATAGCCCATCAATAGAAGTTTCGCAAGAATATAAAATGACTTTGAATCCGCCATGTCTCACCATGTAAGAATTAGAGACAAGAATGCTTATCATGCCCTCTGTAATGACTTAATTGAGCATTTATTGCAACGTCATAAAGAGATGTAACTTTTATCTACTTGTTAACCTATCAATGCACTAAGAATTTGCTCTACGGAGAGATTTTACTTTTATCTACTTTTCTACTTGTTTAACTTTTACCTATCAAGCAACCACTAAGAATTGTCAAGCAACAAAACAAGATTGTCATTACCTTGCAATATGATTGTCAAGCTATAAAGAGTTCAAAATATGTAATAATAGTTCAAAAGTTACAAGGAGTTTGCTCTCAAACAAAAAAACATCCATTGGACTTCAAAAATTTCATTGAACAAGAGCATTGATGCACTACTTCTACAACCTTGTTGATAACCAAATGTTCAAAAGTCCCAAGTGTTGTGTTCCACTTTTTTTCCTTTTATGTAACCCCCCCAACCTATTGAAAACCATAAAATGTTTGTCATAAAATGTTCTCAAACAACCCAAGTGCATAGCATCAAATATGAACATTACATAAAAACCAAATACATATTTGCAAGGTTACCTCTGTAGCTCTACCAATTGGTGTAGCAAATGTAAAATCTGCAAGCACTTTGTTGATTAATTATTTTCTTTGAAGCTCCTCATAGTATGATCTTTGCATAGTAGTTAAATTGGTCATATCCATTGACTTGATTTTATGGTCCTCCTTTTGTTATTCTATTTCATTCATCATTGCTAACATTTGTAGTTGGGTTTCCT